ACAATGTAATTCAAGGTCTTAGCACTTAAAAAAGGCACTGCTAATGTAAAACATTCTAGCAACTTCCATCTACCTAAAACTTCTTATTTTAATGCAAGGTGTTAGCACTTAAATTAGGCACTGCTAACCTTAAACATGCTATCAGTACCCACCAACCTAAAACTTCACAATTTAATGCAAGGTCTTAGCTCTTAAAACATACATTGCTAACCTAAAGCACACTAGCAGTACCCACCAACCTAAAACTTCTCACTTAATGTAAGGACTTTGTACTATAAACTGACATTGCTTACCTAATCACACCCTCCTATCTAAAACTTTGTATGTTAATGCAAGGGCTAACGGGCATCACCAACCAAAAACTTACCACTTTAATACTTGATAAGAATTGGCAATTTTTGGATTGTATGTTGTTTTCACACGATATCTCTTCAAAAGATAATAGATTTTTACCATTTATGATCATGGTTGCATAGTTCATGTTCGTTATACATATTACAACATCACGATACCTTAAGTTATGATCACGACAATATTTGGCAAATGTAAACTAATTTAAAAAGCTGATGCAACTTCATTGTGAATATTTTTATAATTTGTTACTATAGCACCAGATGATATACAATGTACTTGATAACCAAATGTTTGGGCGAAACCATGTTAAAAAAAAACCTCAAAAATATTCATAAAAAAAAATAAAAATGCCCTATATGATAAAACACTAATGTGATATAGTCACTGCTATTGCAAACAATACAATGACTATTCCAAAAGGCAGAGAAGGCTGATGAAGGATGAACAACCTTTATCCTGAATAATGCCACCACCACATTGTATGATTTAGTGTCTTCTCAAATTTCAAACAAATTTCAATATAAAAATATTTTCAACAGATTTTTCTTACAAACACCTCAATATAAAATTTCTTATAAACTGACAAAAATACACAAAAAAAACAAAATAAAAACAGCATTCATTTCTTACTCAATGAAAAACTATAGGCCTTGACCTAAAATGATTCCCTAACAGAAAATGTAACGGTTTCCGGTCTCATTTGAACCTTATACAACACCTGAGTCTTAAGTTTTCATAACAAACATGACCAGAACGGTAGGAAATGTAGATAAATGACAAGGACACTTCTACAGCAAGCTAATGCTTCTAGTACACCACTTCTCTGTAGAAGTGTACAGTACAACCTCAACATTATATATTATTATCCCGTTACTAGCAATAGTCAATATATTTTATAATTGGCCGTCTAATAAGGAAAGTAGTGTAACTCGTTTCACAGATACATTACACAGCTAAAACTCTCAATATGAAAATTATGAAAATTTAGCCATGTCCCTGGTCCTGAATGTTGGACCGCTCACATTAGACTTCAGAAACCAAGGTTGCACTACATGTATGTAATGGAATTATTCACAAGATAAACAGCTGCTTTGATTGGTCTACGAGCTGCCTAGCTGTAACAGAAGGGCCTCAGACCTTGAACTCCTCGCCATGTTTCTGTACCAGAATCTCAACAACCGACGGATCAACCAGTGTAGATATATCACCAAGTTCCTCTGGTTTGTTGTCTGCAACCTTTCGCAAAATTCTTCTCATTATTTTCCCAGACCTTGTCTTTGGTAATCCAGGAGTAAACTGAAAATATGTGTTTAGATATTTAGAATATACAGATGAAACAGGTGCAGCTTTCTGTAATGGGATTCTCTTGTCTCCTCATTTACTAAACATTTTTCTGTTGTAATCAGTAGTTCAATACACAACAATGTATTTTCATAGCCTTGACTTGTTTACAGTGAATGTAACACTTACCAGAATCCTGTCTGGTTGAGCGAAGCTACCTATCCTGGTCTTGACAATGGATTTAAGTTGATCTCTTAAAGTATCAGCATCCTCTGGATTAATGTCTTCCATGGTCACCACAAAAGCATATATACCTGGACAACAAATACATCCTGGTCAGTAACCTAAATGCCTTGGTCAACAAAACACTGACGTGTACCACATGGGAGAGTACATACCGTATCAGATTTACAACCAAAGTAGAAATCTTTTCTTTTCTTATAGATCGTTCTAGTGCTCATTACACTTTTAAAGATATGCTTAACACTATCTGTATCCATTGACTCAACACAGTCAAACATGTCAACAGCTAGACATTTCTGCTCTGTGATACATAAATAAGACGACAAGAACAGTTATCACTCAAATTACATTTAGAAAGTTTCTGCAAGGTCACAATATTGAGGTCAAAGAGAAGTACATAATAAACAAGTTTTTATGGTAATATGATCAGGAAAGATGTAACAATTGCAGAATTCTTATGTTTGATTGACTTGCTGCAAGAGACATCAATCTACCTTCCACTTAGGAAGACTACTTCTCCTTGGGAAGACTAAGCTTATAAAGGAGAAATCAGCTTGCCTTCGCCATGGGAACTACATTGTACAATCTACTCCTTGTGAAGACTAAACTTGTACAAGAGACATAAGTCTACCTTCTCCTTGGGAG